ATTTATTTCTTTACCCTTTGATCTTTTATATGTTGCATTATAACCTCTGCAAAAATTGTGTCTAATTGTCTTTTAATTGATTAAATGTTGCTGCAAGCTTTTGAACATGATAAATGAGAAACTCTTATATTTAAATGTTGTAATCCGGTATTTAGACGAGGATAATATTTTGTATAATCTCACAGTTAAATTTTCAGTAATGTGTTTGGAATACTAGCATTTCCCAGAACAATGAATATGGAAGATTAGGATCATATTTTTGAGGGAGTCATGATGAACACTGTATAACCACAATGTGTTGTTGCTGCCACAGTGGTGATATAGGACCACGTTGTTAGTGCATCAGTTGTTGACAAACTATTTCAGATTAAATGAATGTCTATAGATGCAATCTATAATTGTGGTGGTACAATAAATAAACTCATTCGACTAATATCATGATGATATAAGACCTGGATCGTGAAACATAATATAAGACGTGTGATCCAAATATGATGATAAAGAAAGGTATAAAGTAACTTTAGAGGATATACAAAATCAAAAGTTGTGAAAGCAATCATGCATAAACATTCTTAAACTTGATTGCCCAGGGTTTTCATTAATTCTTTTCTTGCTCAAACCACTGTAAAAGACTAAAATATTTTCTTCATCGACGAGACCATCATCATCATAAACACATCTTTAAAAACTTTAGTTATTTGATTTAATTCTCTAAATTAAACTAATTATCTGTTATTAAATATTTTAGTTCCTGGCTTTATATTCAAACACACTTTTTTTTAACTTTAGATTGATGTATAAATTGACAAATTAAATTTTCAAAGACTTATGTAAAGTTTATTAGTAAAATTAATGTGAATAGGCCTATTATTGAAAGAACTCATCTATGTGCATATTAAAACTAAGGAAAAGTATTTGTAAAGAGTTCAAACATGTTACTGAGACCTTTTCCTTATGTAGGTGTCATTGTTTGTTTTCTGAAACTAGTAAAATTTTATTCCCTCTACAACCTAATAGAACCAGTAAAAATAATAAATCACCAACTCTGTTAGCACGAATCACAAACACCCACTATCAAATTTGTTTTTTAAAATTAAAAAAATTAGGAAAAGTTAATATAATTTTACAAAGGAGAACTTCTAAAGGGAATCAATATGAAATGCTCTGTACGAAGAAATAAGAATTTGCTAGATCAGTCAAACGAAAGCCCCATTACACGTCCAAGGTATATAAACACTTGAATTGTGTATATATAAGAATCCTATGATTGCAACATGCAACATTGCACTAAGTTAGAGCACCTCAAGAACATCACCCATTTTCCTTCTGTTGAATCAGATATTATCAACCATCCATGTCACAAAGGAGTAAGTCATTTCGTTTTAGGATCCCATGGCTATTAGTACCTTATGAATCCTTCAGAGCCATTTCCTCCTTCATTAAAAATCTCTCAAATCGCAAGACCAATTCTCAAAGCTACCGTATGTCCTCATCTTCTATTCGCAATTCAATCTGCAGAAAACCAAATCAAGACCAACAAAAACCCTAGAATCCCAAATCGTGTCACCATCACGATTTAACCTACGATACCCTCGCACATCCAAAATCCAAAATCCCCAAATTCAAACCCCAATTTATGCAATTGATTCCCAATTTCCATCTTCTCCCTTTGTGTCCTTCTGCCTTTGATAGCCAAAGACGTGGTCTCAAAGGTTCTTTGGGTGCCGTCACAAGCAGCCGATGATGAAGGGCAGGAAATATGTTGCTGGGTAGCTCGTGGAATAGTGTTTAAGGCAGTGACTGTTGTTCATGGTATGGAGCTATTAAAGGATGAGGTGAAGGTCTCAGTAGAAGACATTATCATACCAGATGCCTAAGTTCCTCTACCCACAGATGAGATTTTCACTATGGCACACACATTCTAGTCTTTTATTGCTTGGCTTAAACACTTGGTTGGTTCGGTTTCTGACGCCCCGGTATGGACCTCTACTTTACACTTGTCAATTTTAAATTTTACATGTTATTGATGTCAAAACTTATCCTATTTTTCCATGTAACAACAGACGCATGGACAAGAGAAGATTCGTTTATCTGAGGACGATCCTATTGGTGCATTGCAACAACTTTGTGACATCATTAGAGATGAGCCTATGAAGGTTGAATATGATGCTAATGTACTTGGGATAGACTCTGAGGTCCCAATATACCTACATAGCCAAGATGTTAAGGAGCTTGCGTCGAGAAGAGAAGAGTTGAATATTACATTAATTTAGCTATGGATGATGTAAGTCTATGAGCAATTATTTATATAAAACTGATTTATATATCAAGTATACTTATATCAAAGGTAATTTTTGATTTTAGGTATATGTTTGGTGTTAGTAACAACTTGGGGTACAATGATGTTTATGGGTTCATTGATCCCCAAGTCATTCACGAAGTAAATGATTTTGATGACATCACAACATATCTCATTAGTAGATTTGGAAGTAGGAAGGAAATATATTTTATTCCTTATATATATGGGTAAGTGAAGTTTGTTAACTTCATAAAGATCCATATGTGATTTTAATATATAACAATTAAGTTGTTATCAATTTCAGGCACAATTGGCAGCTACTTGTTATTTCCGTACCGGAGAGCTATGCTTTGTGGTTCTGCTCATTGCACAAGTCTCTTCCCAAACATCTCAGACAAGTAGTTGATTGGTAAGAACCTCAATGTTTGGAATTTCTGTGTCATATAAATGAATGCTAAAACTCTTTTTTATATAATTCTATTGTAGCACGTATGATGTTGGTTGGGAGATCAACTGCTAGTGGTAGAAAGCTTGCATGGGTTGCTCTCAAGGTTTGACATATGCTAAAGTCATAACTAACTATTTACAACTGTCATGATATATTGTAGTGTAATGGATAGAGTGGGTCATATGAGTGCAAATACTATGTAATGTATTGGATGTCCCACATTATTCGTGCCCATATCACAAGAGGCTGGAAAACGATAATATTTAAATTTAATGAATTTTGATTTTCTCCAACATTTGGAATTCATATACACTAATTAATATCAATTGTCTTATACAGAGGACTCCTTCTCCACTTCTTGAGAAGCCACTTACATACTTGAGGAAGGCATTTGCAAAACATTTAGTTAGATTATATAATAGTTCATAGTTAATATAAACTATTTAAAATACATTATATAATAGTTCAACAACAACCGATGCCATAGGGTGCACAATAATTTATTTTCAAAAAAATAAAAATAGCGCTTTGGCAGCGGTTCAAGCTAGAACCATTGCCATAGGTCCAACTTATTACCTCGGTTGCTCAAGAATTGAGGCAGTAGCCTTCGACATATTACCTCGGTTGTAACCGAGGCCAAAAGTCCCCAACCTTTTTACCTTGCCCGTATATACCTCGATTCAAAAACTGAAGCTTATTGTCAAAAACAACCGTTGTCATTTCCCTTCGCTATATTAGTGATAATCCCAACAGTCAAGATGAAGAATCTTAAGTTGTAAACTTCTATCAAAATTTCATCTCGATCCAACGATGAATGTAGTGAAAATCACATGTAATGAAATGGCTCGATGAATATGCCAACAACAAATTTTCTCTCTTCTAAGGACTGCAAAAATAAACCTCTTTCTTGTGACCTAAAAGACCCTTCTCCACTTGCATTAAATAGTGACAAAATGAGTTTGACTAGGTTCAACTTTACATAGTTGGGAATTAACACTACTAAAAAAATGAGTTTTGATGTTTGTTATTTTCGGTCCTTAAAGTCATTCCAAACTTTGACGTTTTAGTTGAAGATGTCAAATTAACGTCAGAGTGGAAAGCTGATATAGAAGACGTCAATCATGGGTGAAACCAACGTCCATTGACGACAAAGATAAGATAAATGGATGTTCAAGGACATTGAGCGAACGGATTTGCACCGCTGAGCTTCAATTTTTACGAATGCTTTGGTAGTAAGTAGAAGTGGGAGATGCATGTGCTGGTTTGTTTAAGGGTAGCAGGGGTGAATATATTGAGAACTTCTGTACCTTTTTAACGCTCATAATTCGTTATATGCAGAAATCATGGGTGTTATTCTATCTATTGAACATTCTCGACTAGTTGGATATACACATAATTGGTTGGAAAATAATTTCATACTATTATGTAAAACTTTTTCTTTTGTACACATTGCCCATTGGTGATTTAGAGGAAGATGAAGAAAATGTACGGAGATTTTTGAATGAAATTAGTTTAAGTATTCTCATATTTTCAAATAAGGTAATAATTGTGAGGTTAAGTTGGTTTCCCTTGAATTAGAAAATAATATTTAGTATAAATGGTACGATATTATGCATTCAAAGACAACTTTAGATTTCTTTCTTAATAGGTTTCAACTTCTCATAGAGTTGTTTAGTTCTTTGATAGGAATTTTTCCTTTGTTTTTAAGGACATGAGTTTCATTTGGTCTTCCCATCTCTTTTATACTTATTTTCTTTTTTATTTATATTTTTCATCTTAATTGAGATGTCACGATAGATAGTAATGTCTAACATGTGTTTATATAAAAAATACATCAATACTTATTATACTAAATTGATTATTTATCCTAAACTTTTAAATTTTTTCACTTTTATATTTCTAAACTTGTTTTTTTATATAAAATTAGCGATGTTTAAAGTTTCGTTTTAATTAACGAAAAAAATTGAAGCAAACCAAATTAAACAATAATTCTACGTAATACACTTTCAAACTAATTGCCAGAATTTTCAATCGACAATAACATAATGAGTTATATTATTGCTATACACAAATTGTTTATTCATTAGTCGAACGAAAATATTGTACAAATGAAAGCTGCATACCATAATGTAACAAATTTGGCTTTTAAAGACAAATTTATCATTCAAAATTCCTCAGCACACGACTTCCCGAAAAGGAACGAGAATCTTTATTCTTAGACGATATAATCTTGAATTGGAATTCTCAGTTGAATTTTTTTGTGTCGTCAAAAATATACCGATTTTAAGATTTTAAAACATATTTAAACTTTTATTAATATAAAAAATTAATATATTTTAAAGATAGAGCAAATGAACAGCACTCAAAACTCAATAAAGAATTTGAAATTTAGAATCTTGCTAGCGGTGGCAATTATTGCGTGCGCTATTGCCTTCGTTACCTGCCAAGACCAAATACTTGTCTTTCCTGGTCAGGTTGGTGCATGCAAACCCCAAAGCTTTGCATATCTCCTTTTGCACAAAATTGGCCACTTCAATCTTTGATTTTCCACCACCTTGACATGTTTGTGATTGTGGTAATAACCCCAGAAATTTTATGGTATATGTAGGACTTGGATTCAAGAAGTGGAAAAAGGGGTCTAAACATTTATACCCGCTTGCTGTTGTTCCATAAAACATGCTAACCTTAACATCAATAGCCACAGGAATGATGTTAGCTGTAATCTCAGCAAACAAAGGGCTAAACCTTAACAGATAAGGTTCCCTGCAAGTTGTTCTCTCAGGACACACCACAAGGTTTCCTAGGCTCAGCAATTTTTCCATTTTTTCTCTGTCTTTCTCTCTGTCTCTTGTTAGCCTTATAGTTTTGATAGGAGATACTGTTTCACTTAATCTACTTAGGCTATATGTGACTGTAGAAAGTGGTTTACCTAGAACAATTGAAACGTAAAGTGGGTCAAGCAGGGTTCTGTGATTGCACACATAGAGCATACCCTTTTCCTTTTCTTCACTGTGGACCAAAGACCCTGTGCTTTGGGGTCTTGAAAACGTGGTTCTTGTTCCTGTGAAGGCCAATATTGGAGCTGACAAATTCAGGGGCAATGCTATGCCTATTGTAAATCTGACTAGGCAAAGAAATAGTCCGAAGGGTAACCAAATGAACAACACCAGAGAAGATGCAAGGGTAGGCATGAAAGCCAATCTTCCATCATGGAAGATCAATGGCTTCGGATACTTTTCTCTCGAAAGAACATGACAGTTTCTCTTCTCATCAGCAAGGCAATCCTCCTGAATAAGAAATCAGAAATTATTACAATTCTTTTTCCTATATAATCCATTGAGAACACTTTTTTATAATGAAGAATTATTAAGTGATCTTGATTGTAAATATATTACAAGTTCAGAAAATAAATATAGTTAAAAATGAGTCAATTTGATTAAACAAAAACTACACATGTCTTCATTTACTTCAAACGGTTTTATTTACCTCAAAAAGAGACATAACATGAATGATTTGACTGTTTTATATGTTTAAAAAATAACAAACCTTGGATTCTTGGTTAAGTTGCCCCTGGTCAATAAACTCAACATGGTTTCTGTCTACCATACCAGCACTGTTGTTGATGTTTGTCCCTGTTGTCCCTCCATTAACTATACATGAAGGGACTTTATTTGGATTTTTCTTCTCATACACTCCCATAAAGAAACCCCTCAAGGACTTCAACTCTTTTGCCATGACTGCCTCAACACCGAAATAGTCTTTCAGGAAATTTTCGACCATGATCCTAGGCAACTGAGTAGTTGCCACTTTTCTCTCATAACACATTAGAGCTTCAAAGCCTTCCCCTCTAATGTCTTCTAAGAAGAACTTTGGCAGAACAGCTGATCCTGTTCTGAATGTGTCCTTTCTGATGCCAAAAAAGCACAAGAAAACCATGATGTTTAAGCCAAGTTGGTCTTCACCCAGCAGCCAGACCAAGGGGTATGAAAGAAAAAGGATAACAGATCTTAGTATCCCACCAGCTTCAAAAGCAGCTAACATGAAGTAAGGGAACAAGGAAGTTGATTGTAACAGAGTGCCCTCAAAATCGAAGACTAGTGTTTCATTATTTCCCAGTTTTTCTTTCTTCTGAACAAAAGAACTGGTTCTCATTTTGCTGCAGTAGGGGTTCATTGTTTAACATAGGAAGGGAAAACTCCAAAGTGGCACTACAATATATAGACAAGAATTGAAGAGTGACATCATTTTTTATTATGTTTCTATGGAAAAGGGTCACACTCGTCTATTTTTATATTTTAAACATAAAGAGAAGCATAATTAAATTTGAATAAAAAAGATAAATTGATAATTAATAAAGACAATTTTAAAGCAATAATAGCAATTATTGACAAATTTATATCATCATTTAAATTAATTATTTTAATTAAAAATATAAGCTAGCTGGTATAATATTTTGAAGTCATTTTCAAAAGTAGTTATAGTATTAAATCAGAATTTAATACATTGGCTAAGTACTAAATATGCAAAAATTACTTAATGTAACATCCCAAAAATACAGTCTAAAACTATATAATAGAATATTAACATTTAATAATAATTCAGATCAGTCTTACACTAAAGTGTACGTACGCTTATGGCCGAACGACCTTACAAAGAAAAACGAGAAACTAAAGTTGTACAAAAGTACACTTCTAACCGAACGGTTTACAAAAGAAACTACCGAACGATCACACAAACAAAAAGGGGAGGTGCTCGAACGACTACCTCACTATAAAACTAAACTACTGACCGAACGTCCTACTGTTCGGTCTTAACTTCAACCTCAACTAGGTTTTCTTCCTCTAGCGCCTCTTCCAGCAGCTCATCCCCTTCTACTCACATCCACACCGATGATCATTGCAATGACAAAGACGAACGTAGAAAACAAGACAAGACAGGAAACACAGGGTAAGCTTATGTAATTTAATTCATGTCCAAACATACATTTCACACAAATCAAAGAAACAAGATAAATCATCATAAGTTAATACAAAGCCTAATACTAGACTGACTGTCCGGACTGTATGAAATCTGTGTAGCTACGACGTTCGTGCACCCGGGTGATGTAGTAACTAGGATACCCTCAACAGCTGCCACCCGAGGTTAGTCCTATCTGTCCAAATTAACCATAAGGACTAGGACCTCCTGGCGTTCCCACACATGACCTACCCTCCTCTACGTGAGGACGAGTACTCACGGAGCATCAGGATGAACCGCCAGCTTAGCATGCCCACATTCATACTTTACCAATTCCAATATTCATTCATGAGTCATTCCTCCCCGGAACGCCCGTCCATAAATCAACACATTTGATCCATATCACATTCTCTTCATCTTTCATTATCAATCATCTCAAGTTAACCAGTTGTACAAGGATCACTAAGGGTACTAAAAAGCGAACGTTCAACCGCTAAACTCAGAACGAGACCAACACTTGGAGCGAGACCGAGAGGTCTCCAGTTCCAGAACGGATTAAGATCAAAGAGGGTTACCATCGGGTTGAGAAAGAAACCGAGTAAGATCATATATGACAAGAACTACTAGAACGAGCGTTACTTACAAGTGAGTCAATTAAATAAACTGACTCTTGGAAGATCAAAATGAACACTTCAAAGATGATGTCAATTTCTAAAACTCTAGGCCGAAACCAATGAATATAGACACTTCAAAGAATAATACTTATAAGAATTTACATGATGAAACCGAACGTTAATAAATGTACTTAGCCTTGGAAGTAACTAAACACCAATAACCATCTGAATGTCAGTCAAAGACTGTACACTATAGTGAGCGAACCCTATTGAGTTTGAACGACCGCTCTTATTATGAAGTTTAGCTTAAGGAGCTAGAACGAGTGTCTGATGTAAGACCAAACACTTGCTTAGTACGAGCGCTTAGTATAAGACCAAGTGCTACTAAACTTATAGAGAAGAGGTTTGATACATATACTTAGATACTATGGGAGTAGTATTTAAGAATAACTAAAATATACAAATACATATATATATATATATATATATATATATATACTTAAGTTTATAACCAATCGCCAATAATCCACTATGCTTGGCCGAACGCTCATGCACAGTATTTCGAAACGAAGATGCTCGTCCTCAACTAGGATTCTTCCCAAATGAAAGAATCCAATTATAACCAAGTTTACTAGAAATATCGAACGGTCAATGACCGTTCAGTGAAGAACGTACCTTTTCATAGGGGAAATTTAATACTAGAATCATTTATATTCCAACTCATTTCTTAACATATAGTTTCACAACTTTATACATTCATATCATAATCAATTTTCATACTTCATACCATCCAAGCATATCATCCATCATACATCATATTCATTCAGTCAATCCAACGAACGTTCATACAGCACAGTAAACATACAAATTAAATTAAATAAGCTTCCCTTACATTATAGAGTGAACGAACATTCCTAGAAACAGAATTGATGTTCGCCTAACTACAACTCCTTCTACCCTTACGTTCAACAATTCTTCAAAAACCAAACCAAATAACCAACAGTGGTTCAAACAAGATGAAATCATGAAACCAAAACTTGGTTTGCATGTGCTAGAAAACGAACGTATAACAAGAAGAAAAACTTACTAGTTTTGAATCCAAAATTGTTCGGTTCAAACTGAAGCTCTGGACGTCGGAAGTGCTTCTACAGTGCCTGAATGGTGATCGGAGAAGAGAAAGGGTGAGTTTTGGTAGAGAGAAGGGAGAGCTTTTAGAGAGAAGAAGGAGAAATGAGAATTTCAGAGTTTTGGAGAAGAAGATGCATGCAGAGAGTGTGACGTAAACTTTCCAAAACTCAGTTTTGCTTTCCAATTTAAACGAACGTCCGCTCATCTGCCAACACCTACATTCCACTATCTGATTTTCTGAATCCTCTTTGCTTGACACCTAGCGTCCAATCAGAGAGTTTTGGGTGCGTTTTAAATGAAGTCTGACACTTGAGTTGTATATAAAACAATGATATAATATTATAACTATTATATATTATTTTTATATTAGAGATGAAAATTTTAATATTATTAAAGAAACTACAAGCTTCAAGTATATTTAACTTTTCTGTCTGTTTTTTTAAGCATATTTTTGTAAGAATATTTGTGACTTAATTATCTAGTTTGATGATTTAACTTGATCCAATCTAATTTCAATATATTAGATTTAGCTTATTTAGTATTTTATTTCCAATATATGTGGGTTTATTTAGTATTTTACTTTTTTTTAGTCTTCAATTCAATCTCTACTTTGTTTAAAAAGATTTTACTTGATTCTTTTAGTTATATTAGTGTTGATATTGTTTGGAAAATGACCATATGTCAGTTTTTAGTGAGAGTTAGTGTTTAAGGTTCATTCCAATTCTTCCCTCCTCCTATCATGATATCTTTTCTCTCTTGTTGATTCTATTTGATTACCCTCTTGCTTCTCTACTCCTCTGGTACTATTTCAACGTTCCTTTTTGGCTCCCACTCCAACCTCCTTTGTCAGTAGTTTTATGACACATTCCTCTCTACTAACTCCCACCTCCTCCTTGTTATTCTTTCCTTTGTCCCTTTCCTTAACAATATCTATGTCTTTTGCATCCATTCATGCTCTTCACTGCCGAGACCAGATCCCGCAAATAAGCCTCTCTTTGTAATAATACCTTACCTCTCCCACCCTTCCATCTACCATGTCCTTCTTCGAAAATCCCAATGCTTGTCTCCTCCCTCCATTGCCCTACAACCCTTCTTCTCTTAGATCTTCCACATGCTAGTCTAGTCTAAGCTTGACTCCTAAATCTCCATGAGTGTTCTTAGACATCTAAGTATGTCTTCGTGAATGCGTAACAAGTGTGAGTATGTTTTTATGATTGTTCCTAGGAGTCTGGAAATGTTTCCATGAATGCTATTAGGTGAATGAACATCTCTCCATGAATGTTTCAAGACGAGTGTGAACATGTATTCATGAGTAGTCCTAGAGGTCTAAGATGATGTTTTGAGGTGAGTAGAGCTAGAGTCAAAGTTCCATAATTTACCAAATAATGTGGTGTGATATTTATGATATTGATAATTCTTTGATTATAATTTTTGTTATATTAGCTTACCCTTTCGTTTGTGATTGTAGTTTTCACATGAAACAATTATGTATGTTGCTTAAGACTAGTTGATGAAACATGTATGAATGAATAGTAAAAATAGACGAATGGAGAGTGAGATCAGTGTGGAGTAGCAACTTAAAGATTATAATTTTCTTTCCATTGTGTAAGTTGTTGATGTTAAACACTTTGGCTTTTTTTTTCAATTTTAATTATGGTCTTATGTTATTTAGTTTAAGTTTTTTTTAATATGATTTTGGAAGTGATTATATTTGAACTCATTACACTCATTAGACATGAATTAAAAATAAGAAAAAAATACTTTTCTAAAAGCATGTTTTTGATAAGTTTTACTAAAAGTAATTTGTTGTTTAATGAATTTGTTATTGGTAATGAATTATATTTAAGAAAATTGAGTTGTAATGAAGATGCATATATGCATATAGAGAAGAAGTCATTGAGATGGGTGGGTTAACACATTTCAACTTTCGTGGCACCATAAGGGATTCTTGAGAAAGTAATTCTTTATTATGACATGTATTGGCTTTCGTAATAACCAACTTGGTACATATATATATATATATATATATATATATATATATATATATATATCATATTATAATTATGATTATTATAATGATTTAAAAGCTAAAAGAGTTATTCTCTTTTTGGTATAACTTGTTTGATACATTGCTTCAAGTCCATCAAACCAAAGGGAAGGCATGATGGAATAAATCATTAAATTAAATTTTTTTTAAAGCCTTGAGATAATAATAAGATTTGCATGTGAGATGAGATAATAATAACATTTGTGATCCGCATTATGCTTTAATTTTTATTTAATTGTTAGTAGTTTATAATGCACTGAAAGATTGAAACATGTTATATTATATGTTCATGTATACAATTTCTTTAATTAATTAAATATCACATTTGATATGTTCTTTTTCATTAGAATCAAACAGGTAGACATATGGAATTTTATTTTTTTATTGTTATTACTACCATAAATACCACTTTAATATAAATAAATT